AGGGGACCTGCTCTCCAAAGGTTCTTGCTTCTCGCTCTGAATGAACAGAGAAAAGCGCCCCCCCCTCTGAGATCTCTGGTCCTTAGCCATGGAGATTCCTTCAAGCTCATGACTTCCTTCGTATCCCCAGCATGCCCTTTTTGGTCTGCCATCGTTGCCTATGATCTTTGCCTTCATTTTGTGCTCCGTCTCCCAATGCATGCATCCTTGAATTCTCATAACAAATCTCAGCCATGGGAGAGGGCTCTGATTCGTCCCCACTGTGGGGATGTTATTTGCATTTCCATCAAATGTGTTGCTGTATCTTTTGCAAATGTGAGCATTTATTCACATTTTTGTATGTAATTTGTATGTTGAGTATGGATGACATCTCATATATCAAGAGAGAGATTGAACCATTTCCACCTAGGTATGCTTGTCATTCTCCTCTACCCCAATACGGGACGCTCTGGCAACTACTGTTCTGATACAAGTTTGTTTTCTTCCATTTTCCCACTCCAATGTACATTGCATTTTTATTAAATGATATGCCTTGCGTGGATCTTATTCTTAGGCAAGTTCAGGGCGTTACATAAAATGAGAGTCCAATCCATTGATTTATTTTTCATTTGCAAAGAGTGCCCCAAGCCCGAAATTTGAGACATTCTCTATTGCATTGCTGTTGCACAGGCGGGCTACTTGACAGAGTGGATAGCTACATTTTCACTGGGGCACTTGTTTACTCCTTTGTCAAGACTGGTTTGCCATTATTTGGTGTATGAATCTATTTAATTAGTAAATGCAGAAATTTTGCTTCCGTTCTCTTGGGATGCTCTCTTTCTATTTTGTTGAATTCATTGTTTCCTTCTTTTAATTTCATGTAACATGTGAAACAGTGTAAAAAATAATTGAGGCATTTGCTTTTGCATAGTTTTGTGTATTTCAGCTGCCCCTCCATGAATATGACTTTTGATTATGTGTTGAACTTTGTCAAATGTTGTTGGGGCGTTTATGCGCCTGGATGGCATTTACTTGCAGCATGAAAGATTAAAAATGAACCTGTCAATCCATGTAGTTCCGTTTCATGCATGGCCAAATCAGTATTTTGCATCAGCATTTTCTTAACCTCTCTCTCTCTCTCTCTCTCGGTTATTAGACTCTCGTAGCTACCTCATGGGGCCTTCATGCTATAGTCATCTCCATTGCTGATGCCTACCTACAATAAATTAAATTTAGTTATACATTGTGTATTATGAGACCATTTATTTTTGGGACAAGAAGGTCACGGCCATTCAAGAGTCATTGGATATAGTTCAAGAGATAAAAGTTTGTCACAACATTCGAGGAATTTATTTTAGATTTGTGTCCAAACAAGAAGCGTGAGGACCTTAAACTTTCCCTTAACCCGTCTCATGCTCAGATAAAAGGGATGAGTTGTGTTAGGTAAACAGCTAATGTAAAACTTTGTCAAAACTTATCATAAATCTTGAACTTATAAAAATGGGTGAAATTAATAAGTATTCAAAAACTAAGGGGTGGAATTTTAAAAAATAGGAAAATAGACTTATTTAGAGATAAATTAATTAAAGAAGAAAAATGGAGCTCTCAATATAAGGTCAATATTATGTAGAATGAGATAGCTAATTGTATTAAGAAAGTGGAAAACTTGGTAGTAGAGTGATGATGTTCAGAAGGCTATTAGTAAAAAACAATCATGTTCTAAAACTTTGCAATGTAATAGAATGATCATAATTTAAAAGAATATAAAAATACTAACAAAAACGTTAAAAAAGTATTAAGGCTAAATTTAAGGCATATGATAATTTATATAGTAAACTGGGAACAAGAAAAAAAGAAAAAGATGTCTTTAAAATTAACAAAAATGAAAAAGAAAAAACGTATGGATCTAGACCATATTAGATACATTAAGAGAGATGATCAAAGGGTCTTGATAAAGGTTAACGAAATGTGGAGAGTTTATTTTGTAAATGACGAATAGCAGTAGAATAAACCATTGGCATAAATGAGGGCAGAGGTCATAAATACATTCATAGGATTAAGATACTATAAGTGAAAGAAGATTTGAAAAGGATGAAGATAAGAAACGCATTAGGTCCATATGGTATCCTGATAGAGGTTTAGAGGTGCATGGGGGATATTGGCATTGACCGGCTGACCAAGCCATTCAACAAGGTGTTGAGAACAAATAACATGCAAGACGATTGGAGGAAAAGTATTGTGGCACCTATTTACAAAAACAAAAGAGACCTATAAAATTGTGTGAACTATCAAGGGATCACCAAGAAGCTTTGGGAGACAGTAATTGAGCAACATGTAAGGTATGAAACGAGTGTATCAGAAAACCAATTCAATTTTATGTCATGGAGGTTAACAATTGAGGCTATTTTTCTATTTGAACAATTGATTGAGAAGAAGAGAAAAGACAACCTCCACATGGTTTTTATTGATCTAAATAAAGCTTATGATAAAGTTCTTCGAGATTTGATTTGGTGGGTGTTGGAGAAAAAATGAGTTTTCCCACATTACATCAACTTGGTGAAAGATATGTACAATGGTGCGCTAACTAGTGTACGAACAACTAGTCGATAGACAAGTAAGTTTTTAGGGACAGTAGGTCTACATCAGGGGTCAACATTGAGCCCATACCTTGTTCTTCATTATTGACAACTTAAATAGGCACTTACAATATGAGGTACCGTGGTAAATGTTGTTCGCAGATGATATATTTTTTATTGATGAGACCTGAAACAACATCAATATAAAGTTAAAACTTTAGAGGGATACTCTAAAATCTAAAGATTTTAATTTTTTTTGAACTATACAGAATGCAAGTTTAGTCATAATAGGAGTAGAAACCAAGAAGTAGTTAAAATTGACTGCCAAGAAATACCAAAAAGATGACATCTTCAATATCTTGGGTCAATAATTTAAGGAAATGGAAAGATTGAGGAAGATATCGTACATAGAATTTGAAATGAATATATTCAGAAAAATTTAGATGTGGCACCAATAGACGATACAAAGTGGTTTATCCCCAAGCCACTTTCTATGCCAGAAAGATATAGTATATCCTCTACCGAGCTCCCATCTAACACTCATCGTCACTATTTGCTTAGTGGAGAAGATTACTCTCCACATGTAGGATGAGTTTGAAGACCCTCTATCCCATACTTCGTCATTAAAATTCTGCACCATGACCGATCTCTGAGTAGAAGACTTCGCCACCACCATTTCAAAAGAAAGGTGCAATATTAACTAATGATATCCTCCTAATCCCAAGACCACCCTCAACTTTTGGGGTACACATCTTATCACATCTTAGTAGATGGAATTCCCTTTTATCATTAGAAGACTCCCATAAAAAATTACGCATCATTACCTCAATTCTTTTTGCAAAGATACGAAGCATATGCAAAATAGACATTTGATAAATAGAGATATTAGAATGCAAAAATTAATAATGGGTAATCCTACTTCCTAAAGATAACTATTTAAAAACCGTAATCCTACCTCCTAAAGACAACTATTTAGGTTTCTAAAGGTCAAGCTTGCATCGCACTCTTTCAATAATTTTATCCCATGAAATAGAAATAGACTATCCAAAGTAGATCTAAGTAAAGGTCCCAATGATGTATCCCATACATTCTGCCAATGTCTTCATCAAATTATTTTCACAGCCTACGCCAATCAATGAGGTCTTCCCAAAATTCACTTTTAATCCAATGGCTACCTCACAACACATGATAAACCGATAAATTTTAGATATCTGCGCTCGTTCAGCCTTATAAAATATCAAAATGTCATCTGCATATTGTAGCTGGCAAACCCCATGCCCATTTGGAGACACTTAAAAACCTTGGAAATAGCCCCTTTTTTCAACCTTTCGCAGATTAACACTAAAGCTTTCCGCATAGACAGAGAACATGAATCCCAAAAGAGCGTTCTCTTGCCTCAAACCTTTTGATGCGGAGAAAAAAATTTTAGGGCTCCCATTAATCAAAACGGAGAAATGAGCAAAAGAAAGGTACTCCAAATCCATTTCGCCTCAAAACCCATTCTGCACATGATCTCTATGAGGAACTTCCATTCCACCATGTCACAACCTTTCTCCATATCCAACTTAACAACAACTCCTAGTTCATCACTGATGGATCTAGAGTGGATACATTCCTGGGAAATTAAAACACAATAATCATATCCTTTATGAAAGCTGTTTGCGGCCCTGATACCTGAAGATAAAGCACCACCTTAGGCCGTTCTACAAGCAGTTTTGCCACAATTTTATAAGGCTAGTGAGTAGACTAATAGGTCGAATATCGTTGACAAAGGCAATCAAAGACTTTTTTGGAATCAAAGAAATATGAGCGGCATTGATCCCTTTAAAAAAGATTGCCCTTTACAAAATCTCCACAACCATCTTCTATAACTCGTCACATACCTGGCTCCAGAACCTCTAAGACAATGCGCAATTTAATTTAGGTTTGTGACTAAGGCTGTAATGCAGTTTATGGTCAGCTGACTGGGACCATGTGTAATGCATTTTAGTTTCATGCGACTAGGACTTTAAATATACTTTGGGACTACCCAAACTAAGTTTGAGTGAGTGTTCAACCAAGCTTGAGGTAAGGGATCGTGCCTTCTAAATCAAATATTCAGGAACCCTCGGTGAGGAAGAGCCTCTCCCTTTTGGGATTCGTTCTACCCGACTCTCAAATGAAATACAGCCCGACTCTCAAATGAAATACAGTAGGCGACCCGTGTCATGTCTTCAATTAAACAGCTTCTTCTCTAATGTCTGACGCAAGAGAAAGAAGGCAATCTTCATCAACTCACTTCGATTTTGAGGAAATTTTTTGAAAAACAACTCATGATAATGGTGCAAGGCATTTTAATGGAAAATCCAAGGTTTAAAAAAATGGATCAGTGACCCAGATCGGTCACCTCAAAAATCGTGTTGGATCAAATAATTAGTTGATTTCGGCCTATTTTTCTTTCAAAAAGACACTATAATTTCTCAAAAAAATAGTTTTTTAGGTTTCTAAAACAAATAGTGGATATTGTATTATGCATTTTCATTATTATATCAAAAATATATAAATTATGAGAACCTGTCTCATGTTGAGTGTTTGTTGTCTATTAAATTTATTTTATAATCAAAATAACGTTTAAGATGTAATTTGATATTAAAATGAATCTCTCTAACTCAATTTATTATTGTATTAATTTATGAGGTTTGATTTTTGAAATAAGCTATATAGAACAAATTTAATAAAAGAAGTTAGTAGAGAAAGAGAGAATTTTAGTGGAATTATTAATTTGTACTCTTAGTAGAGAAAGATAATTACAGTGGAATTATTAATGGACCAAACTATGTAGAGAGAGATGTTATTAGAGAGAGACCTCAAGATTAGAGAGAGAGAGAGAGTTATATAGTGGCTCGGTGAGTTATATAATGCATGCAATGGGGCCCGGTGTAAGAAATAAGAAGCAAAAAAAAAAGAAAAAATCCCATGTCGGGGATTTCACAAAGTCAAAAGCTTTATAAAATATTTAAATATACACTTGAATGTACACATTAGTCGCACGTGCAAATTGTTTAGCTATCATTTCTCTTGATTGGGAGGCATACGTAGGGTGATATTAGTTGCGCGACTTCTAAAAAAAGATAGGAAGTACACGTGGAGTGATGTTAGTAATTGCGCGACTTCTAAAAAAAGAGAGGATATCTTGTCCTTGTTCTTTTTTTAAAAAAAAAATCGAACTAAGTTAATTTCTAAAAAAATAGGGCAACCGTTTTAGACCGGTTCTATTTTGACAGGATCGGCTGGTTCTGTCAAGAAGCCGGGTTTTGTCAAAGAGTCGGATGGTTCAAGGGGGGAATTTGTTGATTCTCGATATATGTTGGGAACCAGATCAGCTGAAAT